GCGATCGCGCGACCCTGCCCGTGAGCAATCTCCCAACTCATCTCTGTCCCTGCTCCCAACTCATCTCTGTTGGTTGGCCTGTCGTCAAGCTGTCAGGAGGAGCTTCGCACCTTTTCTGTTAGAAGCGCTATCTTACTTTTCGGTATCCCTGCTATTGGTTGTTTCCTTTCGGTTTGTTGCCTTGCGACGGGTTTCTCTTTTTCATGCATATGGTAAATGGTTGCAAATGTATATTGTTTCGTGATCGTCGCGAACACGAGTAAATGACACGTTTTGTGTTGGGAGAAATTCGGAAGTGCAGAGGCTGAAATTCGCGGTATACAAGTAATTTCCGTGCCGGTTGATTGAGAGTAACAGACCGGAAGTGTGATTCTTGGATTCGTCCCTGTTGGTTCGCTGTGTGCGTGTCTTGTGAATTTTCAGAATGGCGACCGCCGTGCCGTCTCGATTCGCTATCCTCAGTATCGATGATGATGATTTTAAACCGAAAAAGAACCCCAAGACGAATATTGACTCCAAGGCTAATTCCAAGGGTAAGCCAGATAAGCAGAAGCAACAACCCAAGAAAGACGAGAAGAAGAAACAAAATAAGGTACTTGATTGCGAGTATACTTCTACCGGTAATGTCAAATGCATACTAAGACATGGCGGGAAAATTTGATGTTGAAACTGTGTATTTGAATCAATATAACAGTTGATGGATGTGCTGCAACAGGGTTACTGATCATTTGTGGAAAAATTAAGCCATAAATTGAAAGTCACTTATGCTGTCGTGAAATGTAGTTTATTTGATGTTTCTGTCCCAGGGAAAGAAGAAGAAGAGTAATAGTGAGGATCAGCAATGGGAACAATGGAAACAAAAAGATTCAATGGTAATAAACACTACATGTTTTTGACAAATTTTCCTTAATGTTCACACAATAAAATTGATAAATGATGTATAATTTTGAAAATTATTTAAGGCTGTAGAAGAGACATATGAACAGGAATTGCACCAAGCTATTCTACTGTCCAAACTAGCTTACGAGGCACAGATGGAAACTACAAAGAAATCAGAAAAAGATCAAGACTTTGCCAAGAAGAGTAATAGTAACAAGAAGTCGAAAAAAGCTACTATGTCTTTGGATGAATTCAACAACATGGAAGCTACCACCACAGAGGATGTATTGGTTTCCAACAGTGTAGATGTTAAGCATAAAGGTATAAACCATAGCCATGATTATTCCGGTTTTAATGACATCGCAACACCATATGTTTATAGTTTATTTCTGAGCTTCTCAAATTAATTATATTAGTACATTAAATTTGGAAATTGATCGGGGAAAACATACCAGGAGACTAGGCACTGGATTTAATGATTGCTCCAGAGTCGGACTCCGCATTCTTTGAAAGGGTCAACAAGGAGACCAAGGAGGAAATCACAAAAACAAAGGAAAAAGATATTCTGAAGGCAAGGTTAAATCAAATTGACGATGACATTACTTCTGCACAATTGAAGGCAGAGTTAGAGAAACGAGATGATCTCATTGGTCAACTCAGGCAAGAAGTAGAAGCATTGAAAGAGGAGTTGAGTCAGGTCAAGAAAAGGAACAGAAAGTTGTGTCAAATTCTTGCTCAAGGAGAAAGTAAGTGATTCTTATGTATTCTACAAATCTTCAATTCCCCTGTTCTTTAATGGTTTGATAAATATTATTTGTTTTCTGTACTGCCACGGAATTACCTGATTTCTTATGTTATTTATTAAGTATATTAACTTTAACGATTTGGACTGCGACACGTATAAAAAAATATATTTACTATTTCTCTGTTAATCTTTGTAATTTCCAGAGCATCAATGTTTGATCAAATTAACAGTTTGTTTAAGGGTTTTAGTAAAGCTTATTTCAAGTAGAAAAGACTAGATCACATTTAATGGCATGTATTGTTTTGTGCCCATTTTTAACGCTATCCATTTAGTGGTTCAATGATTAATTTATCTAAGAGTTTTAATGAAATTATTTTGTTGCTGTATACATTCAGTGAAAGACAAAGCATCTGTACTAGTAGAGGTGGCCAAGTTGCAAGACATACGCGACGAGCTGACATCAGAAGTAGCATCTTTGCACGCTCAGCTGGAGCAAGAAAGGTCCAAAACAAGAGCTTCCAGTACTGAAACAAAGACCAGTAAACAAACCGTAAGTTTCTCAATTGTGTATTAATTATCTCTTTGCTGTGTTAAACTACCTTGATTTTTAGAACAAGAAGAGGCCAGCCAGTGAAAACGCCTAAGATTCGTCCTCTCCAATATATTAAGTATAATAATATTATGATCCGATTAGCATTAACATCGAGTAGCATGTTGGACATTATCGAAACTGTCTAACCCTTAAAATGTTTTTAGGATGTCAAAGGAAAACAAGAAAATCGTTAGAACGAAATATCCATGAAAGTCGAAGCAGTATGCATTAAAAAAAGACTCATTTTATTTTAACCTTAATTTAAACAATGAATATTATGTTTCCACGTTAAGTCTGCAAAATAGATTGTTTTTATTTTTTTTGCCATTTCTAAAGAATTTTTTTTTCCCTTAAAAATCCGACTGAACACGACTACTGTATGGATAATTATTAAGTGTTACAGAAGAGCTTGAACAGGAAACTTTTGCCACTATGTAGCACAAGCGGGATTTTGCCGAAATACGAGGGCAAACAGCTTTCCCGTTCATACTACCATGATTATTAAATAATATTACTTCAGATATTTTGTAATAAACATATTCTATGCAATTCTTGATAGTGATGCGTTCTTCTTCTCGGTCCTAGATACAGATTTTTATAATCTCTGAGCAATCTAATTATTATTGCTACCCCTGAATAATATGATTCTTTTGGAGATCGCTAATTTTACTCGTATTGCGTTTTTCGTGTTTATAAATTGCAATATAATATTTTTATGAATAATTTATTTCTGCATAACGAGAAAAAAATTGTTTTAGTGATACGAAATAATTATCTTCCTGAAATATTGATGTTTTGTAACCGACTGTAAAAAAAAAGGAAGTTCCAAATTTAACCTGTATATTTTTCATTTTTCCTTTTATTTTTCCTTTTATGTTCACGCATAATTTTTCCCTGAATTAACCGATTTTTATGATTCTTTTTTTTTGTCTTCAAACGTTGACTGCCACGCGCATCTTATTTGACTGGTATGTCACCCGAATATGGGTGACGTGGCAGTCAACGTGTTAAAGAAGAGGGTATTTGGGAGGTGATCCCATGTAAGTTTCATCATGATCCGATTATAAAATGGAAAGATAGTATATTGTTGTTGTTGTCGTTGTTTATTATTATTATTTTATAAAAGACAACGAAATCTTGAACGGTTTACAGTAATTGCACCGTGATTGGATTATCAAATATGCAATGAATTTATTTAATATATTAATTAATTTTTAAGTGGTAGTAAACCGTTCTAGCCAACTCCCCTTTAAATTCAGTGTTATCCAGTACGCGTTCTGGAATATATTCTGAATTTCGTTAGGATCCAGTGATATTTCAATCATTCCTTGGCTCCAGTGCTCTGCATGCCACTTCCATTCGCCATTCGCACTACGTTAAGCCTCATCCGGATTACCCATATTCGTCTGCATTTTTATGGGAATTTTTTATTAACTTTTTACGTTTAGTTGCTCAGTGCAGATTTTTCCCGTTCGGACGTTTCAATATTTCCGGCCTCGTTTTATAGTTTCCACCACGTACCAACGGTACAAAAGGGGATTCAAGGAACATCCGGTAAATGTTGGCTGAGGTTTAACATCTTTCTACCTATTCGAGTTAGTCGCGATAAGATTGTATTTATCATTCAACGACTGACAAGGAATGTTTTTCAAGTGTCCGCCTCCGATTGTTTTGATTCTTGGATATATTTTAGAGGACCAAAAATTAAGAAACACGTGTATTTTTATTTTGGCCCGTTTTCATATTTAGGGGGTGAAACAGTCTCCTCAAAGTTCATAAAAAGAAGTATAAGAATTCTCAGTTTAAAGCATAATGTGTTGAGTGAAGCTTCTTACAAATACGTCATAACTTGCTTGATATATAATGTTTTTATCGGCATTCACCCTTGCCTGGGGGCAAACTACCCCTAATCGTATAAAGGGACGTTTACACTCTTGAATCGTATCACCTGAAATCATTAAATTCTTAAGAAATCTTAAGCATGAATTATTTTTTGATGACAGAATAGTGGTTTAATGACCTCCCATCACTACTGAGGGGTGAGCCACCCCTAATTAATTAGTTACGCTTATCTTATAATTCCAACAAAAAACACGTTTGATGTAAACAAAAAATAAGTTCATAGCCTGATGTTATTTAACCTTAAAAAATACAACGAACATTCCTAGAAATAATTAGATGTTATTATTTCTTCAATTTGAAAAAACTACAACAAACCTTCAAAAGTAGCAATAGTAATAATGTTACTTTTACAAAAAAGGGCAAAAATTGTTATTCATATTCAACCTACTAAGGTTATGAATCAAGTATTGTTGAGTTTACAACATTTTAACCCATGTTCCGATTGCCTCTTAAAGTAATGAAATCAATTACCGCGAGACGGTACAGTCAAAACTTGATTAATAATCATTTCCATAATTTTGAATTGTTAATAAATAATATGAAAGTAACAGTGACTACAGTTTGAAAAATATTCAACAATATATTGTAGAATTAATTTTCGGGAAGGCATGAGAGACAAACACGCGACTTGTTGGATTGGTCGGTAAAAGTTAATTTATTATTGGCACATAGTGCTCAGCGCTGAGGTTCGACACCGACTACTGGTCAAATTCTAAAGACGGTTAGGCGATGGGACACAGTCATATACACTTACACATTAGGTGAGCTACGGTCAGGTGTAAATAAGACAGAGGACGAACAGGTTAAGAAAGAGATAGCTCGAACTCCTGTCTCCTACACTCCGTCATCCGCTCCTGCATCTGCCCTCGGATGCCGTCTTCCTCCTCAGTTGAAGATTTGTCACTACGGGATGACACAATCCATGGCTTAATGTGTTCAGCCGTCGTCACAGTTTTTTGAGGACCTTCGCCCTCGCCTATCTTAATCACAGTGTACCGATCTTTGGGCAGTATTTTAACAATACGATACGGTCCTAGAAACTTTATAGCAAGTTTTAAACCTAGCTTCATTTGGGTTCTCTTGATAGCCACCAGGTCATCTTCGCGATGCTTCTGTGCCCTTTTCCTCGACGCGTTATACGTTTTCTTATTCTCCTGCTGAATTTTTAATATATTCCTCTTCGCTTGCTCTCTCAATGCATCCCGGGCCTCAATAAACATATTGGACAACTCACAATCTATCATTTCCTGGATGTTGGGACAACCTTTCATCCTCATGTGCGTACCAAGTAGTAACTGGCATAGCGACATCCCGATACTTCGACTGTACGTCGCATTCAATTATTGTTGTGCCACGCCAAGGTGTTTGTACCATTCAGCGGGTTTAGGCGCCGCCAACTTGGTAAGAAAAGATATTAATGTGCGATTAACGTGCTCTACCTGCCCATTCGCTCTGGGAACGCCGATTACTATCGGCACGCGTTGAATATTCTCGGCCTTACAATAATTTTCAAAACCATTAGATATAAACGCGGATCCTCGATCCGATATGATTTTCGCGGGATTCCCAAAAATAAGAACTTGCCATTTCAATCGTTCCAACACTTCCGCAGTGTTAGTTGTTTTTGTAGCGTAAAGCCACACAAATTTAGAGAATGCATCCACAACAACGAAAATGTGACAGTAACCCTTCATCGTGGAAAATGGGGGTCCAAGATGGCCAATGTGGTATACACATAAGGGGGTTTCGCCCTTGTCAATCGGATTCAACAGATCCTCTTGTTTGCCGTGTTTCCTTTCGGCCAAAATACAAGGTACGCAATTGCGAATTACCCTTTCTACCCTCTCGCGCATACCCTGGAACCAATAATCCCTTTTCAAAAGAGTCAATGTTTTCCCAACAGCAAAATGCCCGTTCTCGTGTGCACGTCTGACCACTTGAGATTGCATAGGTCTCGGAACAACCAAACGCAGCTCATTATCCTCGCAGGCTCTGTACAGCAAATCGCCTTTTATGACAAATTCTTACGATGGCGTAGAGTCAATCACTTCGAAGAACTTCCGCAAATCGGCATCAGCTCGTTGACCGTCCTCAGGCGCACGACGAGGCTTTCATCACCCTCGTCTATCAAGAAACAAGAAGGGAGAGGATTCCGGCTCAGAGCATCAATGTGCTGCATGTTTTTACCGGGCCGATATTCAATTGTATAGTTAAATTCCTCTAAAAGGAGGGCCTATCGAGCGACTCGCACGCAAAAATCCTTCTGCATTGTCATTACAAACGCCTGACAATCGGTAACTATCTTAAATGATATTCCTATCAAATAAACTCGAAACTTCTTTAACGATTTGATTATTGCCAAGACCTCAAGCTCGTAGCTAGTATATCGCTCTTCAGCTGGCGTTGCTTTTTCATTCGCGAAATACACAGGATGAAAAGTTCCGTCCTTACTATTACGCTGCAGCAATATGGCACCGTATCCATACATGAACGCATCGGTGTGTAACTCGATCTCTGCTTTTGGATTATACAATTGCAACATCGGACTCTCACTTAACATTACTTTCAAACGTCTAAATGCCTCTTCCTCTTTTGCACCATAAGAAAATTGCACATCAGCCTTCAGCAAATTTGAAAGCGGAAGCGCAATCATTCAGTACCCAGGAATAAATTTTCGAAAATAACCCCATTCCCCAAGAAACTTTGTACCTGCTTTACATTTGTCGGCCTTGCGAATTCCATGACAGCCTTAGTCTTATATTCCGACGGACGAATGGATCCGTTTTCCACGATATAACCTAAATACTCCACCTTTGATTGCAAGAGACGACATTTTTTCCAATTAATCAATAGTCCATATTGTTCGGCCGTAACTAATACCATTTCTAGCGCCTTAAGACCACTAAGGCAGTCTGCGGACGGAACAACAAGGTCGTCCATGTAAACCAAAACAATCATAGCGGTAACCAACTCGCGAAAAACAGAGTTAATATACCTCTGAAATACGGATGAAGAGTTGCACAAACCGAATGGTACTTTGAGAAACTCATATTGCCCATCAGGGACAACAAAAGCCGTATATTTACGACTATCCTTATCCACGGTTACATGGAAAAATCCATTTTTCAAGTCTAATGTACTGAATACTTTAGCACCCTGCAACGAATCCAAATGATCTTCAATCAATGGGAGGGGATAGCGATCCTTTACTATCTTTCTGTTTACCATTTGATAATCTACGCACACTCTCTCCGTACCGTTCTTTTTCTTTACCGTCACTATCGGGCTCGCATAGTCGGATAGGGACGGTCTTACGAATTCTTCTTTCATCCACTCCCCAATCTGTTTCTTCACATTCTCTCTCTGCGATGCCGACAGTCTTCGTGGTCGTTGAAATATGGGCTCATCATCCTTTAAAACTAATG